CTCAGAGGTTCCACCCCACAGAGAGGGTGAAAAGCAGAACCCTTTGGCTGGGGCCAGGCACCCCCCTGTGAGCCTGGCCTGAGGCTCCTTGATCCAGGACATCTTTCTTTTTTTTTGGTTTTTCAAGACAGGGTTTCTCTGTGTAGTTTTGGTGCCTGTCCTGAATGTCACTCTGTAGACCAGGCTGGCCTCGAAATCAGAGATCTGCCTGGCTCTGCCTCCCAGGTGCTGGGATTAAATGCGTGCGCCACCACCGCCCAGCTGATCCAGGATATCTTTCTTTGCTGTGTCTTCCACACCCATTAGATCGTCTTTCTCGGCAACTTCCTCATACTAGAGAAAATAACAGAGAGGTGAACCATGGCTCCCCACCACCACCAGCAGGTGGGGAGCTCCATCTCTCCTCCAAGCCACTATTAGGGACACCTCTCCCTGCCTGACTCACCTGCACTTTCATGAGCCGCCCCAGGTAGGAGCGGAAGTAAGACAGGTAGATCTTGCTCAGTGTCTCCACGTATTCATCCCTGATCTCCTTGGCTGTTGCTCGCTCGTTGCCCAACAGGAACTGATAGAAAAACCTGGAAGGGCCAGGGCGAGTCAGACCCCTGGACGTCCATGCTGGCTGCTGAGAAGCTCACAAGCCACCCTGTGCCCGTGCCGGGGTGGCGACCTGTACTTCAGCAGGGCTGTCTGGGGGATCTGATAGTTGGTCATGGGCTTTCTGAATGAATAAATCTTCTGGAGGATGAACTCGCGGATCTTTGTCACTGCCTAGATGTGGGGACAAACAGGCCATGAAGTTGCGGGCTTTGACCGTGTGGAGGAAGCAAGGAGGGGACAGACGTGAAGGTAAAGGGAAGGGAGAGAATACTTTGGATGTTTTATGTTTTGTTGGTTGAGTAAGGGTCTCTGTGTAGACCAGGCTGACCTGGAACTCACAGACGTCCGCCTGCCTCTGTCTCCCGAGTGCTGGGCTAAAAACGCTTACCACCATGCCCCGCATTATTTTTTCAGGTTTTTTCTTTTTTTTAAGTATGGAATGCTTTATGAATTTTCGTGTCATCCCTTACATAGAGGCCATGCTTATCTTCTCTGTACTGTTCTAATTTTAGTTTCTATGCTGTTGGTTTTTGAGACAGGGTCTCATGAATCTCAGGATGACCCCAAACTCCCTTCATAGCAGAGAACAACTCTGAAATTTCCGATCTTTCCTCTGCCACTTCCTGAGTGCTGGGACAGCAGACAAGGGCCGTCACGCCAATGTCTGCAGTGCTGGGGAGGGAACCCAGGGCTCCGTGAACGCTAAGCAAGCACTCTACCGACTGAGGCACATCTCTAGCCTCTAGATTCTCAGGGGAACGAGAGGGCCAACATGCACCGCCCAGAGGGAAGCAGTGGGGGTTCTTGGGAAGTGACCCTAGGGGCCCACTCCCACCTTGACCCGGAGCCGGTCCAGCACGCCTCTGACATCTGCACAGGCAGCTGTCCCTCTGGCCTCCTGCTCTCTGACTGCGGCTGCCTTGGCGTCCAGCTCCTGCAGCTGCTCCAGGAACCTGGCCTCTGTCACTGGAGCTTCCAGAATTGCTCTGAGGAGCAGGGAGGACGGGGTGATCAGAAGGGACCCTCAACAGTCCTGAAACACCCGGACCACACCCCTCACAGCTCATGTCATTCCTACCTTTCTCCATGATCTCATACCCTCATTATATGCACCAAGTTTTCAACTCCTGTGCCCCGCCTCCCCACAGGCCCCCACTACACACCTGACCTTGGATCACTCCTAACCTATGTCCTATCCTATGGTGGCTAAAGCGGGTTAGGAGTTATTAACCCATCTGTTAATTTCTAGAATGTACTTCTTTTCTTTTTTAACAAAATCCCACTCTGCAGTCCACGCCGGTGACTTGCAGCAATCCTCCTGTCTGGACCTCCCAGGCATGAGATTACAGGCATGAGCCAGCACACCTGGTTTCTAGACTGTACCTGACAAACCTTGGCCTAGCCTCGTGTTGTAAACTGCGTAGGTAACCCAGCCCAGCCACCTGCTCTGGTCAGTATCACCCTTCAAGCCAGCAACTCACGCGACCAGAGTGGAGGGTACCACTAGCCCATCTACAAGTTCCCCAAGCTTCCCCCGAACTGCCTGTCGGTTGCGAAGTCGGATGTTCATGGCTCCTGACTGCTCCTGCAGGGTCCGGATCTCAGAGCTGATGGAACTGAGGTCACTCTGAAAAGCTCCCAACATCTGCTCCATGCGCTACAGGGAGGGCAGAAAACACTGTGGGCTTGCACAGGGTTGACGGGGACAAGTGTGCCACCAAGTGTCTGGGTGAATACCCCAGTCAACAGCCCAGGAGGGTGGGAGATCTTCACTTGCCCAAGGGACACAAACTACTAACAACAACAAAACCAGGAGCAGAGGGCATGACGGGTCCGAGCTTGTCAGGGGCCACAGCCGAGGGCCACTGACCTCCAGGACAGCGTCACAGGCTGTGATCTGATTGTGCAGAGACGCTATGTTCTCACTCTCTTGGATGTCTGACCCACAAAAGTCAAGGGCTTCACGGTGAACATGGAGCTCTGCAGACCAGCAGCACCTCCCCCTGAATTCTCCCCGAAGTGACAGAAACCCGAGAGATGCCATTTCATTTGGCTATGTACATCACACCTCCCCGACCCCATGTGCCTTCCCTCTGCTGGAGGATACAGTCCCGGATCGATTTCTGCTCAATCTGCTGCAGCTCCAGCTCCACCTGCTTTGAATAGTGTCGCAGATCCACACCCTGGGGAAATGACCATGAGAAGTCAGGACGAAGTCACAGGCAGGCCACAGGGGACACCAAGGTGACAAATGAGGGGAAGGTGGGGGCAGATGGGCATAGGGGAGCGCCTCACCGTTCTGAGAGCCTCCTTCACTAGTTCATCCTCCAGATTTGCCTGGATGTGAACTGGAAAGAGACATTTATCACGAGGGTCCAGCGCCGCGCCCCCCTCCCCACTGGGCACCCATACACCAATCTCCCCTTCCCTCCCAGCCCCCATCCGCTGCAGTTGTAAGAACAGTCGCTGTGACTTTCCTCTGTTTCTATTCCTCACAGTCTAGTCAACCACAGACCAAAAATATTAAATGGAAATTCCAAAACGTGATCCGTAAGCTTTACAGTCCACGGCATTCTGAGAAGCTGAAGGACCTCTTGCCCGCCTTGGATTTACGTCATCTCTGCTGGATGAACCTATGGTGTGTGTGGTGCCAGCCTGTCAATCACTCACTAGCTGTCTTAGTGATCAGATTGGCTGTCTGAACATGACTATGTTCAAGAAACCTTGTTTCTACTTAATAATAGTCCCAAAGAGCAAAAATGGTGACACAGCAATTTTATTAGTGTATCGCTATAATTATCTCTTACTGTTCATTTCTTACTGTGCCTAACCTAGAAGTTAAACCTTCTCAATTCAGAGATTAAAATCAACTTTATACTACATTAAAAAAAACATGCAGGGGCTATTGGGGGGCATCTACTGGGGTCGTATAATATATTCCTAAAGGATAAAGGGGGCTGGCTACCTGGCCCTCACCCAGGCCAACACTTACCATCCACTTCATCCAGGATGAATTCATCGGAGGTGATATCCAACTCCCCAAGTTGCAGGGGCTCTTGGAGTCCAGAAGCACCCCCCTGAAGAGGGACAGATTAGTGAATGTGGGGTACAAAAAGAAACTCAGGAAACAAAATACAACCGGATATCCCTAATCCTGCAGGTGAGGTGGGGGCGCTTTTTCAGAGGAGCCACAGGTAGTGGGTCAAAGATTCTGACATACTCAAATCTACATTTTGGGGCTAATGAGTAGAAAATATGTCACAAAATCAGGCAATTTATGAAGTCACTGAAAGTGTTCAAATGAGAAAAACTAGGATTAGCCGAACCTGCCTTTGAGTTTAGGACCTAAGTCTTGTTATCTCAGGTGTTCTACACCACACCCTTAGGGAGTTCTAGATGCTAAAACTGTCAGCTTACAAGCTCTTTACCTGTGTGTCAGGTGCACCCTTACACATTCGGCTAAATCCTAACGACGACCTGTAAGGTAGGTCCTAATATAACGCCTCCCCTTTCTCGGTGTGGGAAGTGAGGACGCGGTAAACAGAGCACAGCTTACAAGTGGCGGGGCTAGAAGGGGACCAAGGCAATCAGGTTCCAGCCCACGTTCTCACTCTTTTACACTATATTCTCTTTTCTACTGAAAAAAAAATTCTAGCGTGAATAGGAAGCTGACATTGTGTCCGTGGGACTTGAGAATCAGCCACACTGCTCGGTCAGCACCACCGGTAGCAGGAGGGGACCCTTGGGTCTGACTCGGCCTACGCCTCCCTGAGAAGAGAGACGCCCCGACGACACTCCGGAGGGCACACGCCCCGTGCTCTCACCAGCGGGCCCTCCTCCTCCTCCATATCTGAGGCCCCGGCCCGCAACACCAGCTCCCGAGCAGCAGCCGCCATGGTCGCCGCGGCTGCCATTCCCCCGCAGCCTCACTTCCGTCAGCTGTCAGGTTCGGAGAGTCCGCTCCCCGAAGCAAAACCAAAAGTCCCAGGATGTCTTGTATGGCGCAAAAAAAAAAAAAAAGTTCCCAGATATTTGAGCAAAAATGATTGGCTCCAGTCTCCCCTGTTAGGCTGGGGTCACTTCGGTCAAGTGCCAAAGAGAAGGTGAACGCCTCACACACAATCCTGCTCCGGAACCTTCGCGGCTCGCACGCCCAGAACAGGAGGAACCTTACGACGGTAAAGACGACCGAACCGGAAGTTATGATCCCCAACCCAAAGGCCCAGAACTCGACTCCTCGCTAAGGGAAGAGCGGGGAGAGCAGCGGTTTCCGGAAGCGCGCCTCCTGGATAGTCCCGCCTCTTCCTCCAGGAAGGTATATAAGAGCGATGCGTCACTTCCGCTCCCTCTTCCACAGGAGGCCTACACGCCGCCGATTGTGCCGCCGCCATGGTAAGAGCGGAGCCCGCGCCGGCATCCGGCGACATCTGAGCCGGGGCGGCCAGAGTTTTCCGTCCGGGCTCCGAGGCCGCCCTGTGCTGCGGGCCTGCAGCTCTCCCTGGAACGATGGAGCGCGACCCCGGGCGGGGACGACCTAAGACGTGACTTTCCGGGGCGCGGGGCCCCGAGGTCGCGTCGTTCCCCGGACACGCCAAAGTCGCCGGGCGCTGGGCTGTGCGGGGCACCCCCGCCTCCCCGGCCGACGTCCCCGCATGTCAGGGTTGCGTTTTCCCGCGCTTGGGCGTTGGGCGTTTGTGGTGAGCCCGGAGGGGTGGTGTAAGAACTCGGCAGGGGCGGGGCTCCGAGCTCGCCGGGGTGTCCCCCAGCCTCAGCGTGTCTCCTTGTCATTACCTGTCTCTGATAAGTCCCCGTGTTCTTCCAGTCTCTAGTGATCCCTGAGAAGTTCCAGCACATTCTGCGAGTACTCAACACCAACATCGATGGGCGGCGGAAAATAGCCTTTGCCATCACTGCCATTAAGGTAAAAAGCAGTGTCGCCGGGCAGAGAAGGCCAGGGAGAGGGGCTTGAAGTAACAAAGTCGCCTAACTAACGGTAAAAGCCTGAGGATGGTGTGAGGTCGGACCAAAGCATTTCCCCTGGGGAAGTGGGGCGTGAGTGTGGTCCTGCCCCACGTTGCTAAGCATCCCCCTGATCAACAGTTGGTGTGTGTGCTCTGCGGCACCCTGTAGCAGCAACCCCTGGGTCTGATTTCTAGAAATTAACCTACGTTAATGTCCATCGGGGGCCGTCTACAGACCAGATGCAAGTTCACTCTGGTTGAAATCGAACCAGCACGTGTCTCTGGTTTACTGCAGAAGGTCAGAGGCTGAACGGACGCTTGAGTGTTTCTCTCTGCAGAGCGAAGCGCTTTCTTGGGGACTAACTTTTATCAACGTTAGTAATTTTGGAAACAGACATCTTGCCTGTCGGTATGTGTGGTCCTTGAGGGCAAGGACTAGACCTGCCTATGCCATCGGCGTTTCCCCTGTGTGGTGTGTTCTCATGAGATGTTAGGGAATGGATGGTGCTGAGGTGCGCGCTAAGTAGTTCTGAGAAATGGAAACGGGTGATGTTCTATAGAATCAAAGAAGCCTGGTTAACTGAGGAGGATATCAGATGGACCCAAAGTTGGAGTAATTATGTTAAAATGTATGAACTCCCTTTTTTTATTTTTAATGTTTGCCTAATTTAAAGTTTGATTTTTTTTCTTCTTCTGCACTTGGGAAACAGTGATAATGGAGGTAGCTGATGGGGCAGGGTGAATGCAGTGTCTGGAGGGGTTGAAAGGCCTGGGGTGCTGCCTGTGACCTGCCTTTTCAAACGAGCATCTCGCTGATGTTCATTGGAAGATAATTACAGTCCACTTACAACCAGGCGGGGCACCTGGGGGGCTGTGCACAGTGTCTGAAGATCCGGAGTACTGAGGGTTATTATGTTGACTATGTGGAGAGGGTGAAGATTCCTAAGAAATAAAGTTTGTTGGAGATTTTGGGAAGGATGATTAGGAATTTGAGGGAAAGGATTGCGGGGAGGGTCCTCCAGAGGTGTGATTAAGGTGTGGTGCAAGTTGGGCCAAGAAGGGTGAGGGACAGTGGAGATTCTGTGCCATGGTGCCTTGTTTTCTGAATTCTTTAAAGCTGCTCTGCTGCTGCTTGGTTAAGGTGACAGTTGGTGTTTGACTATCTGGAAGCGTGTAGGAAGGGGTTGGACAGACCTAGGAAGTGCTGGCTGTCCTTGCTCTAGGACCTTCTAACACTGTCAGAAAGCCTGCTGGGCGTGGGGCCACACATTTATTGAGATAAGGTCTCAATGAAGGCCTGACCACCACAACCAGCCTGGCGTCGGACATCCACCTTCAGTACTTGCAACAGTGTGGAGGCTGGGGCAGGCATGTGTAGGTGTTCTGCCTGCATGTCTCTGACTACACATACGTGCTGGGAATCCAGGTCCTCTTAAAATATTGAGCTGTCCCGCCGGGCGGTGGTGGCGCACGCCTTTAATCCCAGCACTCGGGAGGCAGAGCCAGGCGGATCTCCGTGAGTTCGAGGCCGGCCTGGGCTACCAAGTGAGTTCCAGGGAAGGCGCAAAGCTACACAGAGAAACCCTGTCTCGAAAAACCAAAAAAAAAAAAAAAAAAAAAAAAATACTGAGCTGTCTCTCCAGCACCTAGAACATTTTTTTTTTTTCATTCAATTCTGGAAGTTGGGGTGGAGGCAGAGTCAAACCCACTCAGGGCTCAAAGAACTTCCCTATCTTACAGTTTTAACACAGACATTCATGTGTGGCTGTCTACTACCCAGTTGTATTTAGTGTGCGCCACAATCACGTGTGACCTCGCCTTATATAATTTCTATGAGGTCACCTTTTGGACTGTAAGATGAGTGTAGGGACATTTCATCCATGGCACTATTCATTGTCACCTTCAGTTTGGGGTTGGCTACTGGACATTGGCCTGGCTGTCAATTTGTCCAGATGATTGTAACCTTTACAGATCAAACTGCTGTGGCTGCTTTCATGGCATTGAATTTGAGTTTCTGGTCCAGTGTGGCCTGAGTGGCACTCTTGATTAGTGTCTGGAAGAGTGATCTGGGAATGATAGGGTGCTGGGTTCCCTATAGCTTCTGTCGTTATTGGTGGATTAGGACAGGTAATTCAGGCTGAAAGTCCAAACCTCATTCCCAAACTTTTCACCCCAGGGTGTGGGGCGGAGATATGCTCATGTGGTGTTGAGGAAAGCAGACATTGACCTCACCAAGAGGGCTGGAGAACTCACGGAGGACGAGGTGGAACGTGTGATCACCATCATGCAGAATCCACGACAGTACAAGATCCCAGACTGGTTCTTGAACAGACAGAAGGACGTGAAGGATGGGAAGTACAGCCAGGTGTGTGGGTGGGTGGCTTCGGGGGTGTCGGTTGAAACGGCACAGGGGGTCTGAGGTAAAGCTGGCGTTCCTGTCTCTGGTTCCAGGTTCTGGCCAATGGTCTAGACAACAAGCTGCGTGAGGACCTGGAGCGTCTGAAGAAGATTAGAGCCCACAGGGGGCTGCGCCACTTTTGGGGGTGAGCGCAGTGGGGCCGGGCCGTACCTGCTGGCCGAGTGGGCTGCTTGGTGCTGTCTGTCTCCGTCCTGCTGGTGTGTGACCTGTGATTCTTTTCCTTCTGCAGCCTTCGTGTCCGAGGTCAGCACACCAAGACCACTGGCCGCCGGGGCCGTACTGTGGGTGTTTCCAAGAAGAAATGAGTCCCTGGGCCTTTGCTGTTAATAAAAGTTTATATGCCTGTGGCTTCGGTCTCTGTGTCTTCCATGTGGTGGGTGGCAGGGGTAGAGGGTGCTGCAAGGGCTCGGATCCCCGTGGGTACTGACTGGAGGAGGTCCTCCCGCAGCAAAGCCTTTGGTATGGTTGAGTTAAAATGGCTCTCCCAGCCAGGCGCCTTTAATCCCAGCACGGGGAGGCAGAGACAGGCGGATCTCTGTGAGTTCAAGGCCAGCCTGGACTACCAAGTGAGTCCCGACTGGGGAGCACTGGCCCTACGCCTCCCTTGCTCTGTCTGGTATTGGGTCACAGGAACAGTCACTGGAGACTGCCACTCCCCACCCGTTGGTGCAATCGTGTCTGCGCGGGAACAGGTGGTGCCACCGGTGTTGGCAACCTCCAGGGGGCGCTTGGGCAGGCTATAAAGGTGTGCTTGGTTGGAGTACAGGGTAGTTGAGAAGTGGTCACAGCGAGGCCAGATGCTGCTGCTCCGGTGAGTTTTTAAGCATACGTTAGCCACTCTAGAGGTCCTGAATGGGTTTTACAACAGGAAGAGCTGGGCCAAGTGCCTCGCAACTTCCGGCCTTGAGCATGATGGGAAGGCAGTCGGGGAGGAGTGCAATGGAGGAGCCGACCTTGGCCTACCGGCTCGGGGAAAATAGCGGTTCCCGGAGCCACTGCGGTGGGCTTGGGGCTGCATCGTGCGATGCGCCGGGCCCCCACGCACAGGCCAACGTGTTTCTGCTGCAGCGGCCGGCTAGGGCCGCTCTCCTGCCTCCTGGCGCTCTAACCGTTCTACCCACAGGTCTCTGCGGCTCACCATGTCCCTCAGCCTCTTCCGGCGCCTCCTCCTGGCAATCCTGCTACTGGTGACCATCTGGACCCTCTTTGGGCCCTCCGGCTTCGGGGAGGAGCTGCTGAGCCTATCCCTGGCGTCCCTGCTGCCAGCCCCAGCCTCACGGGGGCCGCCCCTGGCCCTGCCCCGCCTCTTGATTTCCAACCCCCAGGCCTGCGGTGGTCCCGGACCTCCTCCCTTCCTGCTCATCCTGGTGTGTACGGCCCCGGAGCACCTGAACCAGAGGAACGCCATTCGGGGGTCTTGGGGCGCCATCCGTGAGGCCCGGGGTTTCAGGGTGCAGACGCTCTTTCTCCTGGGAGAACCTGTAGGACAGCACCTCCCCGACCTAGCCTCGGAGTCAGCAGCGCAGGAGGACATCTTGCAGGCCTCCTTTCAGGATTCCTACCGCAACCTCACCCTCAAGACCCTCAGCGGCCTGAACTGGGTAAATAAATATTGTCCTATGGCCCGCTACATTCTCAAGACGGACGATGACGTGTATGTCAATGTCCCAGAGCTGGTGTCAGAGCTGATCCAGAGAGGGGGCCCTTCAGAGCGATGGCAGAAGGGCAAGGAGCCACAGGAAGAGACCACAGCTGTCCACGAAGAGCACAAAGGCCAGACAGTCCCACTTCTGTATCTAGGCCGACTGCACTGGAGGGTGAACCCCAGTCGGACACCAGGGTCCCGGCACCATGTGTCAGAAGAGCTGTGGCCTGAAACCTGGGGTCCTTTCCCGCCTTACGCCTCGGGCACAGGGTATGTGCTGTCCGCCTCTGCTGTACAGCTCATTCTGAGGGTGGCCAGCCAGGTACCGCGTCTACCTCTAGAGGACGTCTTTGTGGGAGTGAGTGCAAGGCGAGGGGGCCTTGCCCCCACACACTGCGTCAAGCTGGCTGGTGCCACCCACTACCCCCTGGACAGGTGCTGTTACGGGAAATTCCTGCTAACATCCCACAAGGTGGATCCCTGGAAAATGCAGGAAGCCTGGAGGCTGGTGAGCGGACTGGATGGGCAAAGGACTGAGCCCTTGTGTTCCTGGCTCCAGGGACTCCTGGGTGTCTTGAGGTGCCGGTTCATAGCCTGGCTCAGCAGCAGCTGAGAGCCAGGGGCCACAGAAGAGAGCATCTCAGGGACCTGTGCCCCACAATCAGTGTGCACAGGCTGCAGCTCCCTCCCTGTGGTGACCCGTCTCCTCACAGCAGACTCTAAAGCCACCCCAGGCAAGGAGAGGCAGGAGGGTACGGGGAGACTGCTGCTCTCACAGCTGGGACAAGAGCCAATAAACTTGTCTCTTCACCCCAAGTGTAGGCTGCCACCTGTCTTCACCACCACCCCAGCACACCTGGAGAGCCCAGAAGCGCCAACACAGCTGCATGCAAGTCCATCTTGGACAGCCACTGGACAGCCACTCGGGATAAGGCTGAGGCAGCCGTAGGTGTGGGGTAGGAGAGAGGCAGGACAACGAGCTGAGTCTAGATTAGCCCCACACAAGGGGAAGAACATCTACAGGACGATCCAAACACTTCCCCCAAACCTTGTTTAATACCCACCCACCCAGCCAAGGTGAGATACAAGGCACACGGGATGAGTTCCCTACAGATCTTTTTGTTTTATTTACAAGTGTGTGTGTGTGTGTGTGTGTGTGTGTGTGTGCGTGTGCGTGTGGCCCATATGTACACAGAAAGTTAAAGACAACCTGTGTGAGTGGTTCTTTACTTCCACCATGCGTTTTCTGGGAATTGACCTCAGGTTTGGCATCAAGCGCCTCTGCCCACTGAGCCATCTGGCCCCTATGGGTCATCTTGGGAATGCTGTCTCTGGCTCATCGTACAAATCTATCCAGTGCAGATGGACGGGCTCCAGAAGGCTTGGCCATCTCTTGTTTCTGTTGCTGCTGCTGCTCAAGGCTCTGGCGCACTTTGTCCTGGAGACAAGAAATGGGGGCCCAGGACAAAGTGAGCAGAGGCTGGCTGAGAAGGCTCAAGGCTGCAAAGGTGCAGGCTGGCTCCTGGCTACCCCACATTGGCATACCCTGTGCTCCTGGTCCATGACCTTCTTCTTCCTCTTCACCAGGCTCGCTGTGGAGCCTCGGCCCTTCTGCTTTGCCTTGGGTTGGAAGGCAGCCTTGGCATCGGGGTCGTAGCCCTGAAAGGGACCAAGTGAAACCAGGAGCAGCCCCTGTGAGCTGGCAGCAGCACACACCCCCCCCCCCCCCCCGCCACCTCCACCCCACCCCCACCCCCCACCCCCCCCCCGCTGAGCTGCACTTCCAAATGGGCCTGCCTCAGCGCCATGTGCCTGCCATCCTTCGGTCAGGCCCATGGAGGCCTGCCCTGCTGGATGAAGATGGAGGAGGAGGGGAGGGCGGAGACTGCAGTCGGTATGTAAAATAAATGAAAAAAATGAATAAAATTAAATTTTAAAAAATGGGGTAGGGCACAGAGGAAAGGGGGGCACTCGGACAGGGGTGAGGAGGGCTGGACAATGTGGCAGCTCCATACCAGTCTCTCTATCCGCTCCTTCTTCTGCTGCTCCAGAGTGACCACATCTACCTCTGCCAGGGCTCGGGGGTCCAAACAAATGAGCTCTGCAGGTACCTGGAGGAGCCAGAGATGGTGAGGAGCCACAGGGAGGTGACACCACAAAGGCTCGGAAGCCAAGGAGGGCGGCCGCAGAGCTCACCTTTTCCAGCAAAGCCTTCACCTCCCACTCCTGACGCTGCTTCCGGCTCCTGTACGGGTTATTCTCCAAACCATCAAAGTTGGGCTCGGCAGACCCTGAGGGAAGGAGGTACATGGACTGAACCTGGTCCTGCAACTCCAGACTGACTGGGCCTACTGGCCCTCCCCAGCTGTTAGGCTCTCTGGCCCACTCACCAGGGACCAGCATGCTGGTGACGCCTCCACTGTGCCCCACCCCCAACACGTCTTCAAAGGGGCAGAACTGGAGTCCATGCACATGGCCTGAGAGTCGGTGGGTGAGGTAGGGCTGCTCCAGGGAGGGCGGGCTGGCCTTGCCCTGCCCTGACCATATGTTGACCACATCACCCATTCCTGCAACTAATAGTCCCCGCTGGGAAAAGGCCAGATGTCCTGCTCCCTGAGGCAGGGTCCGGGCACTCAGGGGCTGGAATGTCCCTCGCAAATCAAAGATCTTCAGCTGGTGGTCCAGGCCAGAAGTGGCCATGTACCTGTGTGGGAGACGGACTAATTAATCTCCAGGGTAGTGACAGGAACCTGTGGCCAAGTCCCAAGTACCTAATCTGGGTGTGAAAAAAGACTAGTGACCACTCCCCACATGAAATGCTGCACCTCACATAACTTACCATTGTTTCCATTTTATTTATTACTTCTTATTTGTTCGCTTTGAGATAGTCTCACTAGGGAGCCCTGACTCACAGAGATCAGCCTGCCTGTACTTCCCAAAGGCTGGGATTAACAGTGTGTGCTCCTCTGTTTTCAAGGCCAGAGAGAGCCAGGTGCAGGTGGCGCACGCCTTTAATCCCAGCACTCGGGAGGCAGAGGCAGGCAGATCTCTGAGTTCGAGGCCAGCCTGGACTACAGAGTGAGTTCCAGGACAGGCTCCAAAGCTACACAGAAAAACCCTGTCTTGAAAAAAGAACAAAAAAAAAAAAAAAAAAAAAAAAAGGAAAACCCCCCTAGAAAGTAACAAGTAATGCTTTTTTTTCAGAGGCTGAGAGGGAAGCTAAAGGTGACGAGCCTTGCCAAAGAGTCTCTTGGCCTTGACCATGAATCCAGGAAGGAACTGAAAAATTCTATGAGCAGAGGTTCATCCTGTGACAGAACCCAGTAGAGCCTCAGCAGGACAAAACGGTTACTGAGCTAGGCATGATGTGCATGGCTTTAATCCCAGCACTAAGGCAGGTCTCTGTAAGTTTGAGGCCAGCCTTGTCCACAAAGTGAGTTCCAAGCCAGCCAGGGTTACATAGTGAGACCATGTACCCTGCCAAAAAAGCCATTGGTAAAAGCCAGAAATGACTGAGAGATCCTGGACAGTGTCACATCCTCGGGTGGACCTGACCCCTAACTATCTACGGGATCCAGTGGGTGAGTTCCAGTCTGGCAGCCCTGCTGCTGTACTCTCCAGAAGTATTCATTTCACTGCAGTCCTAACACAGGCTTCCAGAAAGCTCTGGGGAAAAGGCCGCTTCACCTGTAGCCTGAGGGA